AGGCGAAAAATAATGAGATGTGTTTTCTATGTCGCCACATTCACATAGGAGACTCTCTGTTATGTTTTTTGAAAACAAATATTGTTGAAGAGAACTACAATGTGTTCTAAGTCTTCAAAATTCCAAATTGTACCAGTTCATGTTAAATGTTGAATTCTGCTTAAGCCGGTGCTAAGGGGCGTGGACGGTAGTTTGCACTTGACAGTACCGTCCATGAACAGGCTCAATCAAACCGAGCCTGCAACATTTTCAATGTTTACCGTGTTGGGCTTTCTTTAGGGATTCTTCTTTTTTTCTCTTTTTTAATTGATGATGGCAAAAATGAATGAGAATAAAGTTTTGTGTGACAAAATATATTTCTAGTGTTGCCTGTATTTTGTAAACTATAATCTAAAGATTCTTCTACTGTATCGGGAACTAATGAAGAGAGGTAATGAGGACAAAGATTATTGAACATTTTATAAAGAAGAATTTGTTTGTAGCGTCTTACTTAAAGGGATTGGATGCAAGTACTGTAACCCAATTATATTCGCGAATACAAATTTTCGCGTTTTGCCGAGGTCGGACATATTCGCGAATATTAATTTCCGCGTTTTCTTGATTTCCGAAAAAAAATATTCGCGGATTGGAAAGTCCGATGGGGCCGTAAAATCCATTAGCCGACTATTAATCTTCAATAATTGAGGTCATTATTGGTGTCTTAAATGGGATTAACAATACGCTAGCCTTATATTGTATTGGTAAGTGAATTGTGATCACGGAACGTGATTGACAATGGGCCTACTAGTATTTCATAATATGTATTAAAATGTGGATGTTTATTTTGATTGCTATATTGACAGAGAGTTCTTTTGATATTCATAACATTGTAGTAGTTTACTTAGTTTGTGTTTTTATTGCTTTGTGGCAATATTCATAACAATTCATTACTTCCTAACAGGTGCCCGTAAAATTCTAATATATCCGGTCAAGTAGCTTTGCATGAACAACGTCTAAAATAAAAATTTCTCTCCAATTTATTCGCAAAATCGTGTGGACTTATTCGCGCAAACAAATATTCGCGCTTCGTGGCCATCCGCGAATAAAGCGAATATTAATTGGTCGCGAATATTCGTTGGGTTACAGTATCTTCAAACAGATATGCGATAGAAACTAGTTTTGTTGTACTGGTTATTATTCTGCAGGCTTCAAGTTGGATTTTTTCAAGTTCATCTTGTTCAGTTATGTTGTCCAAACAACATCTGAGTATTCCAGAAGGGGTCGAATGAAAGAGAGATATATAGTTTCAAGTGACTAACGATCAAGAATGAATTTTAGAGATCTCATAATATAAATTCTTTGCCAGGTTTTTTTTGTAATATTCGGTATGTGGGAATGCCGATTTCCATCATTAGAAAATGTAACTCCAAGATGTTTGTGAGAGGTCACTTCATTTATTTGCGCACCGTTCATAGTTCATTTGTTTTATATCGCTAAGATAGTCACTAAACCAATTTAAAAGACCATCATTTATTCCAGCAGACTGAAGCTTGAAAATGAGACCTTTACGCCAGACACGATCAAAGGCTTTTGAAATATCGCAAAAGATAGCTCTCACTTCTTTTCCATCATCAAGGGCTTTGCAAAATGTATTATATTTAGAAACAAGTTAGTTGTGGAATTAAAAACAATTGAAGGGTCACCTTGGCAAGCGTCCATTGCGAAGGGACTTTACAAGTTCTTAATTATTTTCTGAAAAGGTGGCAGAGAGGTAAGAGAGAGTTCTTCCGACAATTCCTTCAGTATCCTGTTGTTGATATTATCAGGTCCTGATGCTTTACCAACATTGAGCGTTTTTAGAGTATCACGTATTTCATCATAAGTTAAATTTATTTTGTCAAGTTTATTAACATTTTGATGTACATACAAGTTTGGTAAAGACTTGTTTATATCGTCAAGTGAGGATTAGGTTTGGACAAATTGGTAAAGTAAATTTGCCTTTTCAGTATCAGAAGTCAATATGGTTCCATTATCATTCAAAATCTTAATGTTACTATTTAATGTTGGTTTAATGAATTGTTTGAGAACTTTCCAGTAAGCTGTAGAATTTAAATTTGTTCCATTTATTTTTTTCTGATAAATATTTAGTATAATCTGTTTTTGCATTTCTAAGTAGGTGAGTTGTTTTGTTTCTTAATGTTTTGTATTTGTTCCAGTGTTCTATATTATTTGATTATTTTAGCTCTGTCGTATGCACTTTTTATTTTTTGTTATTTTCGTGCTTAATTTTTGTCCAGAGCATAACTAAAATGCCTTTGAGATATCAACTTGAAACTTCATAGGTGAATAGATCTCATTTAGGAGGAATGTAGCGCACAAGAGTGATAACGCTATCATGTATAATTTTTCAGTTATTGCCCTTTGTTATTTTTCATGCTTATTTTTTGTCCAGACAGTAACTCGTTAAGAATTTATTATATAAGGTATTCACTTGAAACTCAAAATATTACTTTTTCTCCGCCCGTCTCTCTGTCCTTCCGTCCATCCATCCGTCTGTCCGTCCTTCCGTTCGATATTTTTTATGCGGAGCATATCTCAAAATGTATTTGAGATTTCAACTTGAAACTTCATAGGTGGATAAATCGTAGTAAGCAGGAGTGTGGTGCATAAGAATGATGCATACCCTGCATAATTTATTCCGATATTGCCTTTTTATATTTTTTAAACTTAATTTTTGTCCAGTGCATAACTCAAAATGCCTTTGAGATAACAACATGAAACTTCATAGGTGGATATATCTCACTCAGGAGGTGTGCAGTGCATAAGTTTGATAACTCTACCCTTCATAATTTTGGATTTATCATTCTTTGTTATTTTCATAATTAATTTTTCACCCGAGTTGAGCATAACTCAAAAAGTCTTTGAGATGTCAACGTGAAACTTCATAGATGAATTTATCTTATTGAGGAGGAATGCTGTGCGAAAGAATGATAACCCTACCCTTTATAATTTTTGAGTTATTGCCTTTTGTTATTTTTCATACTTTTTGTCCGGAGCTTATCTCAAAAAGTGTTAGAGGTATCAACTTGAAACTTCATAGGTGGATATATGTCATTAAGAAGAAGTGCAGCGCACAAGAATGATAACCTACCCTGTATTATTTTTTTAGCTATTGCCATTTGTTATTTTCAGCCATCAGTATTCACATAGGTTTCAAATCTGTAATCACTTCAGCCATCAGTTTTCATTACCAAAAGACATCTTAAAATTGAATTATTCTGCTCTACTACATATACATTCTTTCAATGAGCAAACACATTCGGCTGGGGATGGCCAGGTTAACATGGCTCTTGTAGCACCTGTTTTAAAATTGACCCCGTCCCAACAACAAAAGTTGTTCAATTTAAAGCCCTTATGTTAAAATTGTCCCGCTCTGGGGAAACGTACAGTGGAAATTTAAAAAAAAAACACTTTCTTCTTTTCAACTTCAAAAGATAAAGCCTAGTTTTTTTTATATATGAAATGTTATCTTAACCTGTGGCTTCTTCAGTAAATATTGTTTTTTTTAGCAATAGCAGCAAGTAATGTTTGACACATGCACTATTTTAGAGACAAATATAAGCTTTATGACATTATCAGTATAAGATTTATATTTCATATCTGCTTTCGTTTATAGTTTACGATAATACTTGTCCTTTTACATAAAGAGTTTATTTTCTGTTAAACGATATTAGGGCCATCATGGCTCTCTTTTACATATGTACATGTTATTTATTTATAAAAAAGATTCAATGGCTGCGAGTTCGTCTAAAGATTATAACATTTAGCAAGAGAGGCGTTTGCTGTCAGAAAATCTTATGGACTGAACTGAAATATATTTATTTATTACCCTTCCAGATTTTTTCCGCCTTTTTGACTGGATATTGATCACCCGAAAGAAATTGATATTACCGAGCCAGACGGGTAATATACACACTAAATTTCCCCGTTGGGTACCCAACGTTGTTAACAATATGCGCTGAGGTGATGCGCGTACGGTTCGATTTTACGCGGTGTAAATTCCGATTTACAAGCACTTTTTAACTGTCAAATGATAAATATTTACCAAAAAAGAGTAATGATACATATTCTCATCAGTATTGAAAACAAATATGATCTTGTGAAAGCTTGATATTAATTACAAAAAAGTGCGTTCAATAGACTACTCCTTTTCTCTTGTTTACATTCGTTAGGTACGGGAAAAAATACGTCATGTATATATGTGACGTCATGTTGTGATGAAGGGGTACCCTAAAGGGTATCTTATTTCGACGTTTCATTTGAAACAGCAATGATTTTTTAAAAAATCGTCTAAACTCAGCAGGGGAATGGTAATAAAATTATTAGTTTGGTTTTGGAGTGATATATGTGGATATATTGCCTGCCAAGATAAAATATCACCCTCGCCTAACGGCTCGGGTGATATAAAATCTAAGCAGGTAATATATCCACATATATCACTCCAAAACCAAAATAACATAGAATGTTTAAGCCGCTGCTACGGGACGTAAACAGCAGCTTCTTTATACCACTACGTTTCATTAACAACCTCATTCGAACTGTGCATAAAACAGTTTTGATTTTGAAGTCTTTTGTGTACTTCAGGAATGCCGCTTTTATCTATTTTGCTTTTATGAAAGTATGCCAGCTTTATCTTAAAGCAATGCTTTTAAGTAAAAGTTCCCTTAAAATGTTATTTTTGGGCGTGTTTACTTACAAAATCGTTTGTCTATAATTATGTCTTTATTTCTTTATTGAACACCGCCTTTCCTTGTTGATCTTGTTTATCATATTTTAAAGTGATGACTTTATATGTTTCATTGTGTTATTAATGTGTATATAATTCCATGATGTTTTATTGCCTTTCATTAAACATGTTCTAGAATAGCCATCAATATATCAAAATATACTTTGTATTTATGACAGTATATTCTTTTTTTATTTTATTCCAGACTTTGTAAGTGCTAGCGAATAAAACAACAATGTCAGACGTTTCCGAAATGTAAGATTTATGTTTTTTAATAAATACAAATTAACTATCAGACATTCTTACACAGACTTCAATATAAAAACACTGTAGTTTGGGCTCGATAAATCTTAATCTGTCTGCTTCATAACTGCCCAGGTTTATACTTTGGTAATGACATTAAATTATCTGCTGATTTTAATCCTCATTGAAAATTTTCTATAGCATGGTGATTTATCAAAACAAAAAAGAAGAAAAAAAACAAACAAAAAAAAAAAACAAATACGTCTGTAATACTTAAGGCAAAATAATTTATTTTTGTATTCAGATACAAGAGATTACAAATTTTTGAAAGGCCACAGTGTCTTCTTGAGACTGACAAAGATGGATTTTTAACAATTGTAAAGGAAACCGCGGAGGAAATGGAACAGATAACGTCGCCCGTGAATGTGGTTGCTATAGCGGGTCTTTACAGAACTGGAAAGTCGTACCTTATGAACCGTTTAGCAGGCGAAACAGCAGGTACTTTTATACTTTTAAATCACGCCTGGGACTTTTTAATATTTCATATGATGGCTAGCTTACCGAAAATTTATAGTTCTACTTAGGTGCCCGTGCCTAAAATAAAACATGTTGTTGCACCTGAGGTCTTTCTGCGTCATTTAATTGCCATTTAAAGAAAGAAAGAGACGACAGATTATTATGTGCACAAATGTACAAATTAAACTATCTATGCCTTCATTCATAGGACTCAATCGAACCAAGTCTGTAATTTTCATGTAATTTTGCTGACTTTAATGCTTCCGAGGTATCACCTTTTAACAGATTTTAACAGATCGCTGTGATATGATCAAAACTGTATTACATAAAAATTAGAGAATGAGGTAAACCTTAGCAAATAAACGAACAAAAACCTGTACATGTGTTTATGAAATTAAATTTATTTGAAACAAAAACACATATTGATCTATTGGCAAATCAAAATTGTAGTTATCGGACATAGAATTATGTATACTGTGAAGTGCAAACATAAGACTGAAATTGAGCAAACAATAAGTGAAAACTTTCATTGGACTGTAAAACCCATATGAGGCAAAATTATGAGGATGTCGAACATGTCTGAGGAATGCATACGTTTAATTTTTACACGTGTGATGATTTATTTTGTATATGAAAAGTTGCAGTTTACCGTGTGAGCATATACATAATGCGTTCCAGAATAAAAAAGGAAATTCCAGATGTCCTTTTTCCGGGGGTCGACCTTTAGGCACTTTTTCAGCAACAAATTTACATGCAGAGAGAGATACATAGTGAGACTAGAGAGATTATTCCCCTATCTTTTAAACCTCAGACGAAACGCATAGTACCTGTCCGTTCTGCGGATAATATTCCACTATCTTTTTATAGGGGTTTATTTTCTAAGCATAATTTTGTAAACTGTTGTTTGGGTTTTTTTAATAAATATGCATAGAAGTATATTGTTCATACTTTAAAATGGGTCTTGTTGCTGGGTCGTATGGGGGTTGCGTTTATTGAACGCCGCCTTTCCTTGTTGATCTTGTTTATCATATTTTAATATTGCTGTCATTTTTGTAGTTCATTCTCCGAAATCGCAAATGGTGTAATACTGTTTTACGAAATGAATAAACATGATATTTTTTCTCCATATTTCTCATGCGTTAGTATGATCTTTGCTGATAATTGTTATTGTGTAGATGAAAATGTGTTCGTGATATATGGTTTTACCCCCGTTTATATGAAGATGATATGATCAATGACAAAATGGAGGGTAATAAAATAACGCAAACATTTGTTCTTGTTTTTTTGTGACAATAAGTTTCTTTATTTAACATTTTCCATCATAAATCATGTTGTTAAAATGAAAAAAATGTACTTAAACAACAAAAATAAAAATATTTAAAAGTGATCTACAACTGATATTAATATAATAATTAATAAGCTAGTGGTAACGTATTATTGCCAACTAATCCATCTATAAAAAATACGTATCCATTACCTACAATGTAATCATTACATTTATTTACATTAATAATCAACTTTAAAGAAAAAACTAGTGCAAAAATATATAATTTATAGTGAAAAATGAATAATATTAATAACAACAACAATAGAAATAATAATAATAATAATTATAATGAACTTCACTTTCATATATAAATATATATATATTAATAAGTGACTTCAACTGATTTTTCTCATTTTCTTTTAAAAAATATGCAATGTTTATTTGCCAGGGTGATATTGAAATGAGAAAAATAAATTAATGTCAGTTATTTTTAGTATAAGATTATACTATTTTTACTATTTTTCTCATTAAACTTATATGCCTAGAAGTCTTAATGAAAATATCAGATAAAAAACTTTGCTTTATCAATATAATATAACTGTTACATATACCGGGATGTGTTCCCAAATTACCCATTACTTCAGTATGGGCATAGAAAGTTGTTTGAAGTGGCAAATATGTGAAAGATAAGCATCTTTGCTTTCTAACTTTAACAAAATGAAAAGGTACTTTACTCGTATAGCATTTAATGATAGGAAACTTTTACTTTTACTTTTCTTTTTTAATAACTGATAGATAAACAAATAAATAAATAAAGGGATGAAAAAATAATAAATAATAAATAATTAAATAAATATATGAATAAATAAATAAATATATATATAAATCATTGATGTAATATAAGGTTATTGAAAAGTGATAAAAACATCAAATGGTAAAATTAAACTGCGGTATATCATTATCAATTATATATGCAATAGTGTGATTGATTGCTGTCATGAAAATCTATTGTTTCAATGCTGAGTAAATAGCTTAATTATATAACCCGGTTCAGAGAGAATACAAAACTTATTCAACCAAAGTTATATTTTTATGGTTATATATTGGCACATCTTCATCTGCTAAATCTTTTGAAATTATATCCAAGTTTATGCGTACAAATAACACATAACTGTTTGCTATGCATGTATGTTCCAAAAGTGCCAATTAAATGTTCTAAAATTTCTTTCCTCAAAGAAGAAGTAAATCTTAAAAGCTATCGTACAAACTCTAGTTGTAAAATAATGTCCATTTTACTGACAGTCGATTCCACATTAATCATTTCGCTAGTAGTCAATAAATACACTGAAGCACTTATAGTCTAACCACATAACGCGGAAATAATACAAGTTACACATTGTGTTGATTAGTTATACAATTTGTGAGAAGTTCTACATCACCTTTAGGCATTTCATTAAAAAAATGAATGCGTTTTTAAAAATAGTATAATATAATATACCTTGCCTACCTTATGATAACTATTATTAGTTCAGTTAAACTTAAATAAATACAAACAAAAGAGACAATGTGAATACATTACTGAAAATGAAACTATTTTTCATAAAAAAAAAAACAAAAGTATCTCAAAAATGTTCCGCCGTGGTAAACGAGGTTGCTTTGTTATAACAAAATTTATAGAGTACTATTTATATTCGTGAGTATTTTCAATGATGTGTTTCTTTTGGATCTTTTTTCCCCTGTTGGTTTTCTTTTTTTATTTTATTGTTGTTGTTGTTTCTTTAAAAAAAAAACAAAAAAACATTTTACATGCAATAACGTTTATGCATATCAAGGGCTTATAGTTTCATTTTTATCATAAAATTTCATGCATTATTTTACTTCAACAAACGAAAATTAAGGCAAATTTGACGTTACTGAACATTCATTGAATATGATACAAATAACTAGCATTATTTTTGGAGAATTCTGATCTTATATCTATTTTTTAAAATGATTATCGAAAATCAGACACAAAAATAAAAATCAATTACAATATATAATAAACATAATAAGAAATAGATGTGTATCAAAGGAAGCTATTGGATGATAAAAGCTAGTATCAAAATGTTAAAAAAGTTAAAGGCACAATCTGTCGCAAAAATCCATAATAATTAAAATGTTTAGACATGTCAAACATGTATTCACTATTGTTTTAATCAAAGATTTCGAGAATGTAAGATGTTTAACAGATGAGGAAAGTATCGCTGAATGTTTAGAAAATGTCGTAAAGGTAGCAAAATGTAATCTAGGTAGTATTTTGACTTCTACAAGAAATACTTATTTACAATAATCATATCAATCTCAAAATTATTCTATATAGAAAATGAGATCGTACCACTTTTAAGAAACTGTAACAGGATACCAAATTTAAAACTTAAAAAACGTTTTTGAAAAATGAAACTAACAGCATTTTTGAGGCATGATGTGCATCCCAAAGATTATGAAAAACCAGATATGCGTAATATTATATTACACAAAACACAAATCACTGACAATGCAAGACATAGTATTTATACATTTTTCTGAATATATTTTTGCGGAATCAAATAATAAGTTTCATTCTGTAAAGAAAAACAAAAATAAAACAAAAACAAAACGATAGTCGAAACATGATGAATTGAGAATACCAAAATCACTTCAGCAACTTCAATGTTAAATGTTTATGTCTGATGTTTTCATCGCGCATTCAAAATATTTGCGTTTGTTCCGCTTAACAACCATTTTTATCCGTATTTTATGGTAACTCCCTATTTGACGCCGTTTTATATTATAACCCAGTATACGTCTTATTGATTTATTGAATATCAAATCACTTTTTTCCTTTCTTCTCTTATCTGTAAAATAAAATAAACAATTTCATTTGCATTTTTTCCACATAAAATTTGTTCCTTAGATATAATGAAATGAAAGTTATACATCAATTTAAAAGTTTTAAACGATCGACTTCCTGACACAAATGAAACACATGATTGTGTGTATTTTATAGGAAAGTTATGACTCGCTTTAGGACTGTCAAAATGTGCATGTATCGCATACTCAATCTGAAATATTTAAAAACATTTTCTCTCTGATTTGTATGTGATATGAGTCGTATAAATACATTGACTTACACTTTAAGCATAACGGGGTTTTCAAGTATATGTAATTTTATGTATGTAATTTAATGCAAGGGTAAACAATAATTTTAATGTTATTTTCATCTAAGCTTGAAATGTATGTCATGCATTTAAGTTATTGTACTGACAGATTGATACTAATTAAGTTTTATGAACAATCACTGTGAATGATTAACACATAATACAGTGATAGAAGCTTATATTTTAAAATAAAGGTTTTGCACTTGGAAGTTCCATCCAATCGAAAACGAAAGGAATATGGGCATGGTGTAGAGCACATCCGACGCAGAGAGGCCAAGTTTTGCTGCTTTTAGATACTGAGGGATTAGGGGATGCTGAAAAGGTAAAAAATATGATAAACAAGATCAAAGAGTAAAGGTGACGTTCAATGAACGCAACCCCCACACGACCCAGCGACGAAAACAAGCTGCAATGAGCCCAGGAGGACCCCAAACAAAAGCAGACTAGGGCACAAGGCAGAGCATGGACAGAAATTCAAAATTATTTGAATTTTCTAAATCTGTGCCGATAATTTCTCCTAGCTTTAAAGACTAAATAGAAACATTGGGTTTAACAATGTTTCACTATCTGTCAATTTGATTAAAATTGACATGATTCCATATTTTATGATAATATTGTTATGTTAAACAGATGCTTAGAAAAGGATTAATGTTTGTGTAACTTTAGTTATATTCAATTATGATATGATGATATAAAATCAAGTTTGATTGCTTACGAAATGCCAACCCATCCACTGTTCCGCGCTTTTAAAGTTTTTACTAAGAACATTTAAAGCAAAGAATGTCAAAAATGACGTTTTACTTAAGCTTCATTGTCCATTGTTTGTTTCATTTTCTGTCTGTCAGCTATACCGACAATATTTAGATAACATCTGTTAACATCATGATAAAATACGAGCACAATTATCAACGTTAGCATATAAAAAACTCAATTTCCTGCACTGAGTATTTATCAACCGACATGAATTGATCTTGCATCGAATCAATATCTTCAAAATTGAAACAGTGTGGTGGCATGGCCGAGCGATTAACGCGTCGGACTAGTAATCTAAGGAGCAAGCCGTTGTTACCTTGAGCAAGAAACTTTACATTCATTGCTAAGTACTAATTGGCTCCAGGAACGGATTCGAGAGTGTTTCAATAAGCTAATAGTTTCAAACACAATCGAACTTAAGAAAATTTGTATGAACTAACATTGAAATACTATTATTAAGTCGATACTTTTTTGTAATAACATTGATTTAATATCCCACTAAAATTTCACATGAATGAACAATTTATATTACAGGGCAGTCAAGATCATGACAACAGGATCTTCATCATAGCTACATTATTAAGCAGTACGCTTGTTTACAATATGATGACAGCATTTAATCAGGATGCAATCGAAAAGTTGACGTATCCTTTCTGAGCAACTTATTTATTGAAATACTCGTATGTAAATAGTTTTCCTTTCATATAATTTCAACTCATACTGTCTGTCTGTCTGTCTGTCTTACTGTCTGTCTCTCTCTCTCTCTCATCCATCCAGCCACCCAAACAAACACACAAACAAAGAAACAAACAAACATTAACATTTTGTTGATTTCAAGGCCACCAGCCCATGCCAACATGTACTTTTCACAATATAAACATTTCATGTGAGCGGTATATTAAACAAATGATAATAAAACTTATTCACTATGCGTAGATTAGTTAAAATAAACATATAAGCAAAAACAATTACAATTATCAAGCAATTTCAGTTAATGTATTTCCATAAATTAGATTTTAAATAATCTGTTCTACGTGGTATTAAAGATTTTCATTTGTTACAAATGTATCTCTAATTATATCTCTTAATAGCTTGGAATAGCATTATTGCTGTATTTTTACCAATATTTTCATTACTACTTGACATAAGCACATTAAACTTATTCATATCTGGCATTTTAAAGTGCTTTTTATCAATATACAAAGTTATTAAATTATCATATAAAGGACATATTTACAAAAAGTGAAATTCTGACTCTACAGTTGCTTTACAATATGACAACATACAAGAATCTCTATTAACATTTTGATATCGCCTACTCTCAATTTCTAAACTATGAGCAGAACATCTAAAATAACTATATAGATTCCTATATTTCCAGATAAGTAGATGATTTAATTAACATACGATTCAGACTCAAAAGATGTTTTATACTCAGAGTAAGAAATCAGTTTTGGACTATTTAATCATTTACTTGTGATTTTGTTAAAATGTAAGGCGTTTATGAACAATATAGGTATGAAGCTTACTAAGAACATTAATTAAAGATATACTTCTAAAATTATCAGGATATTCTTAAGGTCCATTTTTATGAATAGGTAGTAGTCCACTGCTTTGGAAATTCTCCAGATGAAAAAATCTATTAAAAAGCTTTCGGATAAAAAATAATATATACTTTGCACCATGTTTCAAGTGATTCGCAGTTAGATTCCTTGCATTTGTCTTATGTATATTCAAAGATTTAAATGCATCTAAAATATCATCATCTGTTATTACCATATAAAGGATAGAATCACTGTTTGTACAAATGTCATCAGTATAATCTGACACATTGATACAATTATCATTAAATTTTACATAACAATTGATCAGTAGACATGTGTTATGTATTATAAGCAACATTTGACTGTGACATGCTTTTAAGCGTCTTCCAGAATAACCGTGAATCACATGACATATCCGCCAATTTGCGAATAGATTTATCTCTTTAAATATACATGTATTTTTATATATTTTCTTAATTGCCATGTATTTTTGTTCAAATCGCTTAAAGATATACTCAATCTAAAGAAAATCCAACTCTTGCCTAAAACTTTTTGCATTCAATATCAAACAAACGTTATTGCTTTTCTATTTCCTATTATACGAAGATCTAATAACATTTCCAGTCATTGTGTCAATACTTTTAAAATGGCCTTCTTCTTTTTTATATGAAATCATATTCTGGTTGTGTGAAATTTTATCATCATTAAAGCAATAGACTTGCTTAACTGATATATTTTTCTCAGTACTTATTCTTGTAATGTTATTATTTATGCCTTGAAATTTAACTATGAATGGAAAGTGTTCACATTCTGCTAAATCATCAACAATAAAATCTAAAAAATTGCATATAGCATAATCAATAACACTTTTTAGTCCCCTACCGGTTTACCGGAGGGGACTTTAGGTTTACCCTCCGTCCGTCTGTCCGTCTGTCCGTCCGTCCGTCCGTCAGTCCGTCTGTCCGTCCGTCAGTCCGTCCGTCCACAAAACTGGATCCCGCGATAACGCAAAAAGTACTGAAAATATTTTAATGAAACTTGATATATGGATAGATGGCAGTATGGAGGTTATGCACGTCTTTTTCTTTTCTTCCTATGTTGAAAATTCTGGTTGCTATGGCAACAAATAGACTGAAAATATGACAAATTTTACACATAAACTGGATCCCGCGATAACGCAAAAAGTACTGAAAATATTTTTATGAAACTTGATATATGGATAGATGGCAGTATGGAGATTATGCACGTCTTTTTCTTTTCTTCCTATGTTGAAAATTCTGGTTGCTATGGCAACAAATAGACTGAAAATATGGCAAATTTTACACATAACCTGGATCCAGTGATAACACAAAAAGTACTGAAAATATGTTTATGAAACTTGACATATGGGTAAATGGCAGTATGGAAATTATGCACATCCTTTTCTTATCTTCCTATGTTGAAAATTCTGGTTGCTATGGCAACAAATAGACTGAATTTCAAGATTTCTTATTCTAGTTTTTAAGTTTTTTCACTATAAGTTCTTTATTTCTTAAGGTATTTTCTTCAAACTTTAAATATAAGTTGCTTGTCATCAACCATATCATATGTGGCAAGGTTTACAACTCTAGTACAAAATTTATCAGAATTACCTCCCTTGAACTTAAAATTTTCATGAAAAAAACATTGTTTTTTTTAATAACTTCTTTTTCTAAATGTATCTACTTCAACTTCATATAAATGTTTCTTATTGTCACTCAACATTTGTGAGTGTTCAATACTCTAGCAAGACTATTTCCAGAATTATGCCCCTTTTTGAACTTAGACTTTTTTTTGAGAAATTGGTAATTTTTACCCCAACTTCTTCAATCATGATAGGATTTTAAAAATGATATATTTTGATAACAGGGATGTTTAAAAAATAACTTTAGAGTGTCCTTCAGTCCGTCTGTCTGTACATAAAAACTGTTTCCTGTGATCACTTTTAAAGAACTTTTTCAACAAATTAACTTAAAATAGGAACATAAGTGAATGGCCCTTCAGAATGTTGCTTGGGCTCTTACCGGTAGGGGACTTATGGATTGCTTGCAATACTATGATAATTGCTTGTTTCCTTAGTGACTAATAAGTGTGAAATGACCCTCATCACTATCAACACATATACCTCCATGAAAAACATTTACATAGCTCAATGAGTCGTTTCCAAAACGATCAATTAATGTGTCACATTTTTTCTTAGGTTAGTGAACGTCTTAAATTCTTTTTTCATATTCTCTAAAGAGTGGAATATTTTTATTTGCACTAAATATTTCCTATTAACATGCAGTTCAGGCATTTAGATAACCGACTATAAGTAGGTCAACTGAATTACTTTAGTAGACATTCAATATATTTTAATTATATCTATTTCGTTATTATGCTCATTATTATGCGCCGGTGATCCTTCCGGCGGAATGTATACGGCTAAAAAAGAATCTCCTTGGAAGTTTGAAAAGGATTTCGATCGACTTAACTTAAAAATAACTCCATGATTAAAATTTTCTTTTATTCTGTGAAAAACCTTAAAAAAATTATTTGTAATGAAAATTGTGACTCCGCCAATGTTTCTACCATGACTTGACAATTTTCTAGCAAAACAATCATGTGTTACATACAAGGGAGATAAATCTGGAATATGCAACGTATCACATAGCAAAGTTTCTAACCGTAGTATAATGTCAGAATTTGATAAATATTCAATATTATTTAATTTTACCCGTGAAATATGGTGCTATATCAGTCAAATATATTTCGTATTTTTTAAAAATAAATATGAAATATAAATATGAAAGTGGGCGGAGTCAAAACTCATATTTATTTTAAGGGACTTCTTTTGCTATTTTGTTTGAACAATCTGAAATTACAAGACATTTTATTTTTTTGTTCAATTTTGCTTTGAAAACATCTAGAATGATAGAAAATTGTCTAACTAAGAAAATAAATCCGAACACCAATATCTTTAATTCAGTAATTAACGCTGTACAGACATTTAAAGAGTTGTTTACGTGACGTCACAATGTAGCGCAAAATATCGCGTGCAAAACAAGACGTATTACTATATTACTGCTCGCTATAAAATTGCAGTTGCATAGCAAGCAATGGGGTTCATAACCATTTTTCTTTGATAATGAAATTAAATAAAAAGGTTATTTTTTCGTTTTTTGTGAAATATGGTATATATTTTCGCTCGTGAAAATATGTGGCATTTTATCATGTTTCGTGATAATATATTCCATATTTTACTCAAACGAAAAAATATCCTCTTAATATCTTTACGTTAAATAATGTTATTTTTTCCACCAATGTTCTATGTCAGGAACAAGATGTTACAGTTAGATTTAGGTCCTTGACCGGATCCCTAGTCTACCGGGCCTATGTTTATTGGTAAGCCAACATCCTCGCCAGAAGGCCAATTGTCAACGGAAGAGACGTCTCCAGTTGACGTTTGTACGCCCTCCATAGGTCGATTGCCTTTGTCGCCGTCCTATTGTGTATCTGCGTGATGAACGTAAAGGATTCATTTTGCGTTAATACAGAATGCCATTCTTAAAATTGCCAACAATGCCTTTATCACCTAACTGTTTCAGTTGGTATCGCGTTAAATCACTAAATACCCTTATACCACTATCCATCCCAACCTCCCCCCCTATCCCATCCAATCCCCAGCCACACCCAGCCCCATCCGATCCCATCCTATTTAACCTATTTTATTCTGTCATTAGGACATTATTATTATATGTATTATATTTTATATTCCAAATCAATTTTCATGTTGTTAGTTAGTTCGGCATTATGTGGGCTTAAACAGATACAAATATATAAATTCAATGTGAATATCTAAATTACTGTTGCTGCTCTTTTTGAACACTTTGCATCATTATTTTAGCCTTTGACCTCCGAGTGTGAGCTTGACCTTTGAAGTACGGTCTCATTGTTGCGCATGATATGTTGTCTTATTATTGTTAACATTCGTGAAAAGTTATTTCAAAATCAAATCCTTTGATTGATGAAAACGTTATAGACTGCGTACAAAATAAATACAAAATGCAAAATAAGTACTTTAACAGACCATGTTAAGCTTTGGCACCCAAATGTGACTTCAA